ATGGGAGGCGTGAAGTTTGAAGCCAAGTGGGATCCTGCCCATCTTGTTCATTACCCATGAGAACGGAGAGAGCGGGTGCTCTGAAGACTGATTGTTTTGCAGGCCCTGTTATTTCAACAGAGACCTGCAGTGGAATGTTTTTATCCATGCTGGGTCTGCTGTACGAGCCAACTCCTCACTCATTCAACCACGGTTCTGCTCATTACTGAGGGTGCTCAGGAATTTGAATTTCAAACCAGCAAAGGCAGAACGCCTTCACTGGTTCAATACTCTGGTTCTTACACAGCATTAGGTGTTTTCATGTATTAAAATATCACGAATAAAAGTAAAGTATTACATTTAAACACAAAAAATGCATTAGGCTGCTAATCTAGGCTTGAAAATCTTGACCACAATCACAAGGATTTTCAACAAATAATTCTGGAAACGTGACAAAAATCCAGTACTCTGCACTAATAAAGATTTTCCTCTCCACCCACCTTCCTGTCTGTAACACAGCTGCAACCTAGGAGTAAGGACGTGAGAACAATTTAATAAAAACTGAACATTAAAAAAATTAATAATAAATGATCTGCTGTCTTTCAGAGGTCAACTATTTTTTAATATGGCTCTCTTTAAAATTTTTTATATTAACTCAAATCTTTTGGGGACTGAAGACAAAGCAAAGAAGCACTTTTAATAACATCTGACATTTAAAAACTTTGAAATCCTAATTCTATTTTAGGTACTTAAAATACAAAATATGTGAAAGAAGGAATTCACTCATGCCCTTCAAAAAGATAACAGGTTTCAGCTGGCAAAAACATCTGGGACAGATGCGGCAGTTGGTGTGGTGCGCAAGCACAGAAGCAAAAACCTTCCCAAGCGTTATTCTTGCCAGGAAAGTTCAGCAACAAGCTCAAAGTGAAGGATGATATTTCAAATTCATACAGCCAGTTAAAACCAGACCATACTGAAATAATATACTACAGTTTCTAATACTATAAAGAAAACACAAAAATATAATTTAAATCTCTTATAATAATGAGATGGCATCATCACAGTGTTTGTCCTCCATAATTTTTTCAACACTCATGACTGGTAGCAGCACAGAAAACACCTCCCACTATGTTGACATCAAATATAAAGTATACACCACTGGTAATTGCATTGTCAAAAAAAAATCCAATCATTTACTGTATTAATATACAAATACAGTGTATCATGTACTCATGATAGTCTAAAGCACGTGTCAGACACAAGGCCCGCGAGCCAGATGCGGCCCACGGAGCTTTTTTATGTGGCCCGCGAGATAATTATCAAAAATATATTAAAACTGTCCCGCTGGCCGATTTTACCACAAAGACTTCAACTCCCATGATGCTTTGCGGCATCAGCGCGGAGGCGACACGCCCCCACCTTTGTGTTTTTTCCAGCGCCTGCTGCCGGTGTCTGCAGCTCCGCTGTCTCGGACAAACTAAACACTCCTCTCACTCAGCGCCGAGTTTACTCAGCTATTTTCTGACATTGAAGCCCAGAAATGGAGATTCTAGCCGCTCAGTAATGTGTTCACGACTGAAAGAGAAAGTTTTCCAACTAACGTCCAGACAGAGCTGATATAACTCCAGCGAGCAGCGACACGCTCAAACCAGCACGACTCTGTGGCTGCTGTCGTGTTTCCTCCCCGACACACAACAACGTGGTCAAGCTGCTCAGACATGTTCAGCAGCACAAACCTATGTGAGCACCTGTCATCTAATGTTGTCATTATTATGATGAAGATGAACAAAACGACAGGAGTCTCCTCCTCAGCTCAGATCAACCCCATGATGCAGGTATCTGGCTGGAACAGGTGAGCATCACAGTAAACCAGCGGAGCAAACTGAGCTTTAAATATGTTGGTTTTATGCTCTTTTTCTGCTCCAAAACATGAAAGTTAACAGGTGAGATGTTGCATTTTAATTTAAGATAAAATAATATTTTTATTTTGTTGTTGGCCCGTGAGAAATGATTTAACCTGCAGTAAACAGGAAGTGGAAAGGCTGCAGATAGATGAATAGAATAGAAAATCCCTTTATTGTTCCTCAGTGGGGAAAGCTAGATGTCACAGCAGCGATGACGCGTATTACAGGAGAATAAAAAATAAGAAAAATGAATAAACAAGAAAACAAATACTGAATAGATTTTAAAAATGCTGATTATACCACAAGTAATGAATACCACTGATGCCTTTTATTTAAAACTGACTTGCTCGTGTGTAATTTGGTTATTCCACATTCAGTGTTAATGCAGAAATAAGTTAGTTTCCCAATTAAAAGGTTCAAAATTGCATATATATTGATAAAGAAAATGTGCAAATTTGCCGTCACTTTTTAAAAAAAAATTAAGTTTGGCCCTCGACTCCTTCCCAGAGTTTCATTTTGGCCCCGTGTGAGTTTGACACCCCTGGTCTAAAGAGTTTACTTGCTTTTGGGCTTTCCCATGTTATAACAACACAGTACAAAAATAAAATGTTCAGATGATATGGCAATCTGAAGGGCAAAAAGTTCAAATTTTTCTGTAACGTGCCTTGTATAGCAGAGTAAGCATACATGGAATGCCTCTCCTTACATTTTTAATCACAACTTTCTTTTCATTTGAAGCATATTTTTATTCATTTTGAAATCTTTTTTATACTTCCCAGGAAAAACATCAGACATCTCAGTCCAGAAAAGTGCAGTTCTATGAACAGCTAAGATACTGCACAGAACCCTCAAACTCCCAGGCCTCTGGTAGAGGACCCGAGCTTGGAAGGATGAGACCACCTGTGGAGGATGAGATGGGAATATATATATATATATATATATATATATATATATATATATATATATATATATATATATATATATATATATATATATATTAATACTGAGGATATAATCCAAACATCCTATCCTTGGGTGTGGCATTTGCAAAGACCAAACATTTTTATACAAGTAGGACTCATTTGAATGCCAGTTTCACATGTTCTGTTCCCACTTCACTCAGTGCGTTTACATGCAGTGTCAGAAAAACCAACTATTGCCTTAGCCACACTGAAGTCGGATTTTAAAATGAATGTAAACATGTTATTCTGATTGAAGGTTGACTAATCGAGCTGAAGTACCCAAATATGCATGTAAACAGCCCACTGGCTTCAACAGTACGATGCAGTCATGAGGGACAAGCAAAATATCAAACACGCCAGAAATGTGTGCAAGCTTATGACTGGTGATTGATAGCTGGTCACGTGGTGTTAACTGCCTCTTGTACACAACACTCAGCGCAAAACTCGCCCCAATCTTGTAGATTTTTGCATGAGGGGAAAATCGGCTCAAAAAAGTGAAAAAGTGTAATAGTGTACGCCCGGCTTTAGTGGAGTGGAACGCACTTCATTCAATAATTTGGTTTTCTAACATACATGTAAACTAGGATTAATGCTCCCAGTTTAACCTTTGTTTATTGCTATAGATTGACGTAGATGTGAATGCAAACACACTTTCTTATAGCACTGACTCGAGTCTCTTTAAAACAATTGCCTTGGTAATCATCCGTTAGACATGGTGCATTTTTGTTTGCTTCAAACTCTAATTTCAGAGTTTATCAAAGCAGGCAACACATTTAAAAATGTCTTGTAATCTAGATGTGAGCATTTAGGATGATACAAAGAATCAAAGTACTATAATGTCATGGGGTTACGTGTCTTTTCTTTGCCTTCAGGGACGCAAAGAAAATTTATATGTGTGGGAATGTATACAATGGATGTCAGTGAAGCATCAAAACTAGCTAGAGGCACAAAGTTCTAAAGTTCACACAAATTCTCCAGTGTTGATTTAATTTACGGTAGTTTGTTTACAGAGTACAATCTCCATTTTCACTCAAAGTATTTGTGTCCTAAATGTTTAACTGAATCACTATTTGCTTTCACACATATATTTATAGTTCCTCATTGCAACACTATAAAGTTGCTTCAATAAATACAAAAAGTATGATTACATAGCAAAGGGTAGTGAGTGACTCATCTTAATAGGAAAAATCCAGTGGTTGGATTTCCTTCTTTGGGACCAACATCCACATTTTACAGCATTAGTTGATGTACTTTCCCCCGATTATACCGAGTACAGCATTCTGCCTGGCATTGTTCAGCGGTGCACAAGTTTGTCTAACAATACTAGTGAAAATCTAGGAATGATTTTGTTTTCTAGTGAAGCCAAAGGAGAGCTATGATCATTTTGTTGATTATCAGCCCAGCTCTACACCAAAAGCCCTCATTTCTCATTTTGGTCTGGACCTAATCCACTCCATTTCTGTTAATCACAGGGTTGCTATGAGTAACGTGACATGCAGAGCAAAGGGTTTACCCCATTCCTCTTCCAACACACCAACACTGAAAATTTTACCCATATCCATTTCTATGACGATAATGACGCTTCCATCGCCTACATGTGTGAAAATAAGAATTTTCACACAATTATTACAATCTTTAGTGGAGCAAAACAGTGACCTCAGAGTCAACTTTGGATTATTTAAATGGTAAGGAAGGGGGAGGGGGTAGGAGCTCTCTTCCCATCCCACAAAACCTACAGTCTGGTGGTTCAACGACACCAAAGGCTTTAAAACAAGAGGAGAACTAACATAAATTGCAGACCAATCCATCGAAGGTATGCACAAGATGACTGGGAAGTCTTGAATTGCCTCGCAGTTTCCGACTTTTTTAAAAAGAAGTTTCTCCTCCCGAGTCCCCTACCCCCTAAAAATGCTGATAATAGTTGTGTGGTTAAACCAAGATGAAGTGGACACCTGTGTATCCTTAAGATGTAAACAAAGTACTGGTAGTGATGCTAGTTAGATATTAGCCAACAGCATTGAGCTATCAACGTTTTAACTAGGCTGGTGGTCCCTCTTAGATTAAATTCTTCAGGGTTTCCATTTAAGCTAGTTAGCAAGCAACACAAGACTTTTAAAAACATATAAACTTTAACAAAAGTTAAACGGAAACTTACCTGGATAAAGAGCTAGTAACTTAACTAAGGGGAAATGTTTCGTCGAGACTAGAAGTGCGCACACAAACAGCACCAGACGCCATCCCATCCACAAAGCAACATCTTGGATAGTAGTTTAGCGAGGCAGGCAGGCAACAGGTTAACAGTTCCACTGGGCATTCCACTTCAGGAGTACTCTACACTCTACAAGCGGCAATTAAAATAAAAAATAAAAATCAAAAACAAACTCCTTATGCTAAGACGTCGCATTAAACCGCCCTGGAACAGTTTAGGTGTTCTCCTCCCGTAAAACCCAGTCACCATTTCTGTGGAAGAGCGGAATAACCCCTCCCTCTGCCAGCTCGCGTGGGCTGACTCTGACTGGGAGCTGGGAGTAACCAGATTCCTCACGGAGGCCGCTGATTGGCTGTCTGCTGGGGGACTGTCATTCAGCCGTTTCCATGGCAATATACATCCGGCGAGCGAAAGGTGCAAGGTGCCCAAATCATGAAGGCTCATGATTTGTTAAAGTTTGTGTAACCTTTAATTTCACCCAAAAAAACAAAGGACAAAATAGCAACAACTAAAACCCATTCAACAGAACCATTCATGTTTTATTTATTCCTGATGTGTTTCTTTTTTATTTTCAATGTTGATCACTGAAAAGCCCTCTAATCGAGAAATAAAACAGCAGATGAGCAACATCTATGTAAATTGTCATACCATACCTGCTAGAAATAATGTATGTTACGTTTCATAAGTACTTTGTATGTATGTCAATGTGTTTCTGAACTAAAACTAAATATTAAAGTTATCACCTTTTGTCAGAACAAGGACAGGGTGTACAAAACATATTAGTTTAGCCAGTCATGTCCTGTCGGAGACTATAGTTATGTGAAAGAACTTACTTTTCTTTGAAACTCAATTAAAATCAAGATTAGCTAACACCTGTGGTTTCCCACAGCATCAAAGTGAGTCATCCACAGCCAGGAAGCAATTCATAGCTGACTACTTCCTTCCTATGGATCGCTTCTAAAATGCCAGAGTTTATAGTGAGTCTTTCGCCATCTAGTGGCCATTAGTCATCATTACACGGCGTTTTCTTTTTAATTTGAAACGTGATGCAGATGGTTAATTTGTCTTAATTCACACGTGGCCCGTAATGTACATTGTTATTCATAAAGAAACAACATTTAGGAGAACTTGTTTTATTAGCAATGTCTGGAGATGAGAATAGTTGTGATCTTGGGTTCTTCGGGTCTCGCAAAAAAAAAAGATGTTATTGAACATATATGAGTGCCTGTTGCTACAAATCAACAAATCAAGTGATTCTTTGTAATGTAATGCCATCTGTCTACTCGGTTCACCAAAACAAGAGATTATAACACATAAGCAATGTTTATATTATCATTTCATATTCCACAAAAATCCTACTAACACAACGCTTGTGGAGAAAATATAATACTCGGAAAAGTTTCAAGACTCACTTCAATAAAAACTCTATTCTCTTATTGGTCCTTCGCCTTGTTTGTTTTTCTGTTTGTTTTTTGTTTTTATCACTACCAGGACTCACAGTTGATCGTCTCAAACATCTTGTGTTTCTTTACTTGGATTTTATTTAGCGTGCAGTTGGTGACTTGGTTTGTTTGATCCTTCTGTCTAACACAAGTTAGTGAATCTACTTGTAGACCAAACCAAACCAAACCGCCCCTTCTTTGTGACATGTTTTTATTTATTTATTTTGCTGAACACTGCTGAATATTGATGAACGGTTGGGCCGATAAGAGTCGTGAGACACACCTGACCAATAACAAGGACATACAGTTCCATGTTTCTCATTGGTGAGACGGCAGCTAAAGGACGGGACATCAGAGTGGGATGTTACCACCCAACACCCTCCCATCCCGAGAAACAGCCTCTATGTGATCTCTCTCTCTCTCTCTCTCTCTCTCTCTCTCTCTCTCTCTCTCTCTCTCTCTCTCTCTCTCTCTCTCTCTCTCTCTCTCTCTCTCTCTCTCTCTCTCTCTGCTCAGGATCTGACGTCAGACGTGCTCTTGAACGGTTGCTATGGCAACATATTTCCCTATAACCTCTTTTTCCTCTTCCCTCTCTCTCTCTGAGCTCTGGTAGGTCCACATTGGTACAGCCAGCATCTTGCAGCACAATGGTTGCAAGTTGGTGAGCTGGAGGTGGGGGGAGAGAGTGATTCAGCATCAGCAAACCTCGGTTCCGTCCACTTCAGATGTTAATTTCCCCCATTTTTTCATCGCTTCTTTTTATTTCCTTCTTCATATTGCTAAACGTTCGTTATCTGCGCGAACGTCCTCGTTACGCCTCCAGCCATGGTCTCAGCAACGTTTCTCTTCGGGATGTTTTGAAAAGGACTGGCACCGGACTGGGAGCGTCATCAGCTGGCACGGAATGGTAAGGCCGCTCGTTTCTAACCGGACGCGATGCTCGGACCCCCGGTCACCACAGCGAGGTGGAGGGATGGGTATTGATCGGAAAGGGGAGGTTAATGAAGTCCACTGGTGGTGCCTCGGTGGGGAAATAGACAGCGACTTAAATAAAGAATCCCCTCCTTCTCCTCCTCCTCCTCCTCATCATCCTCCTCCTCATCCTCAGCTGTTGTTTTATAACAACTCGCAGCTATGGCGTTACTCACTGTTGTCTGTCTGCTCTTCATCACCCAGCTTTAAACATTCCTGAGCTAATTCCCAAAGGAACACAAAGAAATGTGTGAATGTATTTAAGGAAATCCAGGATGAAACATTTCATTTGAATTACAACTGTGTCTGCATATTGTTGGGACTGTGTGGGGAGATCGTCAGAAATGTTAAAGCATGTCTGAATGGTTGATGGATGAACGATGCTCTTCAAAACATACAGGCTACATGCTGTAGTGCAGGCCTTCATGCAGGGTTGGTTCCGCTCTCCTCCCCCTCAGAAGTCAGCTGCGCACCTTGTACATTATGCAGAGCATCACTACTTTACCGGGATATAAATCCATCTTGAAATCAGCTGAACACTTCTTGCAAAAAGTCTGAATTAAAGGAAATGTATTGATTTATGAGGTGCTTATGCTGAAGCTGTTTGGGTTTGTGGTGCATATAAATGAACAGTTTAAGTGATTTCTATTGGTTTTGTTAGACAAACTGAACTTGTTGCTGAGACTGCAGAAAACAGAGTGGAGCACTATTATGATTCATGCTGTGAGCTCGCTGCTAAACTAACACTGGTAAAAGGCTGTAAACCCATCTGATTAATTGTACTGTTTGCTTAGCACAGGTATGCATCAAAATGTGGTGTTTTTTATTTGGCCTCACTACCTGAGCTGCATGTTCTGCTTTGGTTGTTGAAATTCGTTTGAAAGAGTTTGGTGCAAAGCTCACTCTGGACCAATTTCCAGGACTGTATCGTGAAGTCATTAAAGGTTTAAAGGTGTCACAACAAACTCTCCACGTTAAAGACAGCAACGAGCTGGTTTTTAGAGCTGTGACCTTGGGTGCTGAATTATTCAGGAGCAGGCTTCCATGTTTGTGAAAGCTCTGCAGGAAACAGAGTCTCACAATTAAACAAAGCTTTTATATGGGGTGTTTCTGCAGGGGCCGGTGAGAATGACATATTTGTCTTATAGGATAAGCAAGTCTGATGTTTTGGGGATTATTTACCTGTGAAATAATAAAACCAATCCTATTTTTCCCCTGACTAATATCAGACTTATTTATGAAACAGCTTGTTAGTTGCTACTGCAGTGTTTCACAAACTGATTATTAATGGCATTGATTTCTCACGGGGTTGCTATACGCAATGGAGAATCATTAATGAAAACAACCACTAAACTCAGGTTGTGTTGCACAATACTTGTATTTCAGTTCCATTTTTTCCTATGCAGATCAGTGTGTTTATCCTTTGTTGTGTAACGAGATCGGGCAGAATTTTAGATTCAAATAATAGTGGAAGTGTAAAGTATTATCTTAATGTAAGATGACTTAGTTCTGCATGTCCTGGAGAGGACATCAGTAGAAAACGTCATTTATCATCTTGTTTAATTGCAGCAGATCCTAATTTTACATCAAATAAAGCAGTTTTAAACGATGTAAGCAAGTCATTCGAGTTTTAAAAAAGATCCAGTAAAATTGGTTACTTAATAAACATCCCCATCAGTCATTTTTAGAGCTTTCTGCTATTGCTTCCTTAATTGTAATAATCACGGTCAAAGTCATTACATAAAGAGTGGATTAATGAGAAACACGGTCATTGTCTCTCATTAGTCTCTGACCCTGTCTGATTATTATTTCTAGCTTAATTCTGATTAGTCAAATTATCAAGTTGTTTGATAAAAAAAAATTTGAGGCATTGGTTTTAGAAATTGACTGATTAAGAAATAACTTAAATAAGGAAAATACAAAGAATTAAGGTTAAATTAAGCCTAAGGTTAATCAAAATGTTCTTAAATGCATAACGATTTTAAACGTATGTGTCATTATAAATGACTCACTGGTCCATCAATTTCAAAACACTCAAAATACCTTCAAACAATTTTTGTTCAGATTACAAATTCAATTCAATTCAATTCAAAGATACTTTATTAATCCCAGAGGGAAATTAGAGTTTCAGTACAAAAGGATTTCTGCTTGAAATCTAATCTAATCCAATCCGCCTTTAATATATATATATATATATATATTGTACTTACTCTGTCGCCCAAAGTGGTCTACAGATAAAAACAAACAAACCAGGAAATATGAAACACTACAAGCATATAAAAGAAATAAATAACTAAAACACAACACAGCTTAAAACAAACAAGAGTGGATAACAAAAATCAGGCAGTATGAAACTCCAGCAAATCAAAGTGTGGGAAAAATGGAGTTACCAGTGAGATGCATAGTTAGATAGTTATATTTGATTAGCCAAATTTGCTGATTTTATTCTATTTTATGGCTTATATAGACAGTCAGGGGCACCGCTGGAAGCTGGATCAGATTTAGTCCCAATCCCACAGCAGCACATCTGGGGAAGAGAATTAAGAGCCTCCAAGGGTCAAAGGCTGTTGCAGCTCAGGGGTCATTAAAGGATTTCAGAAAGGTTTTATAAAGCTAGAAACCCTAGCTCACATCACTGAATGTTCTCCTACAATCATTCAGAAGGGCTAAGTTAGCTTCCTGTCGACAGGTGCACAACTGTATTGAAACCAATCAGGGACCCAAGTGAATATAATGGTGCACATGAGAGTTTAGGGCAGGACTTGTCTTCACAGTTCAGTTTTAGAAAACAGTCTTTGTAAAAATGGCTTCATTAACTGTGAAGGTGTCAAAAAGTCACAATATGAGGTTGTTTTGCAAAGAGCCAAATAGTTTCTACATATTCTCAGCTCTTCTGACTTTAGTCATCGGTTCGGGTGTACAAAAGCAACTCTGAGCCGTGCGTGCTGTTACAGAGAATCTTTTCAGGAAAGTGCAGCGTAAGCGAGCTTACAGGAGACTTGACCTCTGTTTATTAAAAGTGAATCAAGTAAAAGAGACAGCAAATCCAGGCTCTAACAGCCATTAGCTTAGCTCCTGAGCTGCTGGTTTGTTTTGCTGGCTGGGCCTGCAGCTAGGTTCTTCCCTTCCTCTCCCCTGAGCCCAAATGGGAGGCTGCGCCGCGTTTGGCTCAGGCTGCACAGTAACGGCGAGGCAGGGCTGCATACTGCAGGAGCGAGGCTGAGGCTGCTGAACCAAACACTCACAATGGAGCACCAAGGGAGGGGGAGGGGAGGCGGCTGCAGCGAGGCTGGGAGCCTGGCAGCAGGAACGTTGGGAGTGAGGGAGGGACAAAAGACAGGCAGGAAAGGGGAGGCTCTCTTGATGAGCGAGGATGGAAGGAAGACACGGATGGTTATGGACAATGCTCGGGTGAGCATTGTGTGATGTTCACAAACGAGTGCAGCTCTCAGACTTTAGACAGAGGGAGTAAAAATGAGGAGAAGAGAGGAAGCCAAGAGGGATATTAGAACGAATAATAACAGTGGTGACTGTGGACCTTTAGAGTAGCACTTTGGGTTTCATCATCATTCCTAAAGCACTCCATCACATTGTTCAGCTCAGACGTGAAACACGGACAGATTATGTGTGAAAGGAGAAACAATGATGAATAACAGAAGCACACGCAAAACAGTTATTTATATGTAGCTCATCACAACCAGAGTACTTTTGCAGAAAGCTTGCAGAAACACAAAATCATGTGCACATTTGAAATGAATCAAAGAGCTATTTTATTCCTAACATGACAGCTGCCCATAAAGCTCATAATTATGACTGAGTTAGAATTAAATCCAGGGGTTTAGTGTTATCAGTTAACTTCCACTGACAAGCCAAAACCAAAACAAGAAGCTTAAAATGAGGTTTAAAGCGAATAAATAAATAAAATTCCCCCAAAATAAAATGTCTGTGTAAGCAGATATGAAGGAGAAAGCAGTTCATCATCACAGTCACTATGGCAACTTGATCGGATGCTGACCATGTCAAACACATGGCCGTCGTGACAGACTGGATGAACATGTTTTTGTGAAATCCTCCACATTCTTAAGAAAATAACAGCAAATCCTTAGAGTTTGGTGTCCTTACATGAAGCATCAGCTGGGATTTGATTGGGGTTCAATACCTTTGATTATCTGTGACATATGAATGTTTTCAAATGTCAGAAAAGTCATTTGATGGGATCTTTGATGCTTGATATAAGGATAGTCAATTTTAATAAATGTGGACATCGATAAGAAATGTGCCCAGTGCTGCAATAAGATCTAACTAAACATCCATATACTGGCACAACTCATGGAATTTCTTTTAAACTTATTCATGTTTTTGATTAGACTTCAACCTCTAGATTAATTAGTATGTTATTCTTATAACTAATCTGTGATCCAAAAGTTAAGAGGCACAAATTAAAACTGAAAACTACAATAGCAAATCTGCAAAACAAGTTAGCTTAAAACAACGTTCAAGTATGGCTATAAATGTTCTGTAGAGAAAAAAAAACATTAAAAAAATGAAGTCGCATTTGTCTAAAAACATAAGCTAATAACACGGCTTGGTCCAAAACCAACTCATTGGTGTAGATTTACTTTTACATCTGTGGGGACTTTTTAATCTACACCCCCCCCCCCCCCCCCCCATTAGTGTTTTTTTTTATTTCTTTGATTTGTAAAAAAAAAAACAATAAAGTTTACTACGTATACATAACAAATAGTAATGTTAAACAAATGTTCAACTAATGACTGACTAATGTAATTTAGACTACAGTTAACTTCAGCCTTTGTGAAAATGAAAAAGGTGACCTACATCAGCAACAATTAAACCAACTATAACAGAAAAAACATCTCTTTTAATACGTCAGTGAACAATTACAAGTAATTACAAGGCTCATTTGAGCTAGTTTCA